AGGCACAGCTCACTGTGCTACTTCAAAGTCACACACACACTAGGATTTCCCCCTCATTACTGCATTACTACAGGGACACCTACCCGGACTTGGCTGACTTTTGAAATAGTTGTTTCCTTTAATTTTTCAATGACTGGCACAAGCATTTGGTTACTAGTGATCTGCCCAAAGTGAATCCTAATAGAAAAACAAAACAGTCACGTTACAAAGAGAGGTAGTGCTCCGCTCATCCTTTCTAGAAAAGCAAACAGATAAAGCAAAAAAAAAAAAAAAAAAAAAAAAAAAAAAAAAAAAGCAAAAAAAGGATTAATTTTACCATATCATGGCAGTATAAAAAATGGCTGAAGATGTTTCCTCTCTACTACTCGCTTTTATCTGATGTCAATTTTAACATACTATCCTAAAAGTTATGACACATTCAACTTGTTTGCAAAGCTGGCCCTTTTCCCTGCCATCTACCATGAGGCCGCAGACTTTGACAACGGTATTCTAGGAAAGCTCAGAGAGGAATGAGCGTGCTAAGAAATGCTAACTCAACAAAGGTTTGTTAACATTCCTAGGGAAGCCACAGCAGAAAAGAAGATAGTCACTGACGAGAGAGTCAAACTCTGACTTACGTACCAAGATGACCTACAATGAATTCATGTTCTCGATGCGTAACTCACACTCATGTGTGACCTGTCACAGCTACTTGTAAGGCACTAGCCATCTCCAACCCTCTGATATGCTGGAAATATTCCTAGTGTTTCCCTTAAGATCAGAAACCCCGATTTAGTACTTATGCCAAGCAGTAAGAAATTATTAGCAACATCGTTGAGTGCCAACTTGAGGCCTCATCACTTGCCTCAAATTATAAATATGGCAAGAGACTAACATAAACATATCCCTGTTCTTCTATTGCTACTATCTTGATGGAATAAAAGGAACACAGGATTAAGAGTCATGAAAATAGGTCAATTCAAATACGAATTCTCTAAATATATCTCTTTGTTGGTTTTTTAACTCTTTGGTATTGGCTGATGAGTTTGTATCTTGTCTTCCTAATAGCGTTTCAAGGAGTATTGGATCTGTCTCTATTCCCGGTCTCTGCTGTAACGGCTGGAGACTGAGGGGGCAGAGATACAAGAGTACACTCTTAAACTACTACAAACACACTCTTCTCAATTACACATTAAGAGCAATTCTACATATTTAAGAATAGTCTAATAAACATATTTCCATTGTTTCTTACTTCCCTCTGGATATGCCCTGATGTTTCCATTTGTTTCTAGAGACCCAGGAAAATAAAGGCACTATTCCAGACGATGCTGTTAGGAGGACAAAACCAAATCCTTTTGCTTACACTAAACAGTTAAACAGACACAACGAATGAGGCCAACTGGCCACTCGGTACTGGGCTCTCAGCAAACAGACCAGAACCAGAGCTACTGCAGCCTGGAGGCTTATGCCTACTAAGCATCCCTGAGCAGTGCTCCGCCTCATTACTTAAAGAGATGGGCCACCATGACCCTTGTTTAAGGACAAGACTGATTCCACAGCATAAGAAATAACTTATGTCACACAGCAGTGAAATCCTGTAACCATCTCTGAGTCTCAAACATTGGGGTTCCTAATTCCAGTGTGGACACCATCGGCTAAAGTAGCACCGGGGCGGTCAGGCCGAGTAGACACGGTACTCTTTGGAAAGCAGGTTACCTGAGCAGAAAGAAGAGGCACCTGCACAGAAGTTCAATATCAGAGCCCAGCTGGATGAATTCGTTAAAGAGCTTCAGGACGTCTGGGACGTAAGAGAAAGGCAGCACAAGCAGAGACTCTTCCAGCTCGCTGAAGACAAAGAGAATAAACACCAAAAATGCCACATTTCTTAACCTGCTCAATTTTAAAACTTCTACTGATTTTTCTATGATTTTATGTTTGAATAGATCTTACCCATTCAGAGTTAAATTTAATATTCGTTTATATTCTGGATGGTTCCCTCTTTTCCATGTTTTGTTTTTTACATTTAATATTTTAATCTATTTGATGCATTCTGGTCCATGACACGATAGGAGAATCCAACTGTTTTTCCAGATTAACTAGTTTCTCCAAAGTCTTTTGTTGAATGTTCCGCCTTTACATTATGATACTTCTTTTACCATGTATTGAATCTTTACATTTTAGACTCTCTTTCAGGGCTTTCAAGTTGGTCCTCATGACTGACTGATTCTGACAACAATCCTGTAGTATCTTAGTTCTGCTAATTTTATAGCTTTTTAATCCAGGAGAATCTAACTCTCTCTTGCTATTCTTCTTGTTTGTTTTACTTTTTTTGAACTAGCTCTAATATCATTTCATCAATTCCAATTCCAAATCTCAAGAGGACTTCAACTAGAGTCACCAACCTGTAAATTAGTTTTTTTAAAAAAACAAGTAAATCTTTAGAACACTGAATCTTCCCTTCTAGGAATGTGTAACACTTCCATTCATTTAAATTTTCTTTTACGTTTCTCGAGTGAAGTTTCGTCATTATCCTCAGGTCTGTTTACTTCTTGTTGTAAGGGACAGATTCAGATATTGAGAATTGTTATGACCTATCAGTAGGTCAAACTCATAAATAAAACCCAAAGGTAAATCACAAACAAGAAACATGATCCTAAAAATACAGAACAAGAGATATAAAGAATTTTTAGAAACCAATGAGAAATTACTGAAGAGTACAAGAAAGGGAAACTAAAAATTCACAGGAAAAAAAGACAAAAGGCCAACAAATTCATTAATAATTGAAAGAAATTAATATAATACAATACTACCTTTTGCCTCTGAAACTGGCAAAGAATTTTTCAAAGCCTGGTAAAAAGTCATTACAAGCATTCTGGAAAGTAATTCCGCAACACAGACCTTTACGGAGCTCATGCCCATTGATCAGTTATTGTTATGCTAGGATTCTTATCTTAAAAAACAACAACGAAGATTTCTATGTAAAGGTGTTCACAGAAGCACTACTGCTAACAGCAAAAATCAGAAGCAAATCCAATAGTAATTATCCATGCAATGAGTGTTTTGATATAACGCAACGAATTTATTTTTGAAGAATATTGGTAACATGAGCAAACGCTCAGGAAATATTCTGTGAAAAAGGACAGGATACAACATTATATACAGCAGGATTCCAATAAAAATAAGCCATCGGAAACACACAATCAGAAAAGGTTACCAGTTGGTACTTGTGACTGATGATAGATGCTTTCATTACCCCCAATGTGCAGTAGCACTACCCTTCGTTTGTCCCTAAAATTTCCCTTCATAGTTTAGGAGGAGCCTCCTGGCTCTGCCTCAAAAAGAGCCTTATAATGTATTATTTTCCATCAAAATGCTGACATAGTTCAACTTATATGGAAAATAACCCTCAGTTATAACTCCTGTTTATCTCATGGTCAGACAGGCAGTCAGTAAATGTCAGCTGACAAATTGTAACCGTACACTGGGACTCACCTCGACTTGATTCCTTTAAAAATCTCCAACACATAAGCTGAAGGCTGTAAAGGAAGCACAGCAGCCTTAGTGATACCCTGGGTTGGTTTCTACGGAGGCTCCCTCATTCCTATCTCCTAAACACCAGGGATCCCGCTCACATGACAAACGGGGCTCTAAGAGGGCAATGCATGTGCGGGCTTAGAGTCTGTCACATTTGGGTTCGCAGTCCAGCTCTGCCAGTCCCCAACTGTGTTACCTTCTATCTGTGAGTCAGGCCAGTTTCCTAGCAGTAAAATGAGGCTGCCCTGACTCACAGGATGAGTGCAACGAATGACACGTGCATGGAACATACTGCAGACTGCTTGATGTGCACACGCTGTCCCATTTCTCCCTCCTCCTCTATCTGACTGACCTATGCCAACTTTTCCTCTGGAAACCTCAATTTCCAAGTTCATTTACATGGACAGAATCTGCAAGAGGGCTTTGGAAACTGGACAAATAAGCACTAGAAAATACGAGAATGCCATCCAGTCCAACCAAAAGGATGGCTTGGAAGTTACGCTAAAATGGTCCTTTTGAAATACTCAACACCACGGAAGACAAAAGAAAGTTTTAACGGCAAAGTATTCCCCAATACGTCCAGCCTCAAATCATGCTTCTTGAGGGGCGCCTGGGTGGCTCAGTCAGTTAAGAGTCCAACTCTGATTGTGGCTCAGGTCATGATCTCACAGTCCATGAGATCGAGCCCTGTGTCAGGCTCCGGGCTGACAGTAAGGAGCCTGCTTGGGATTCTCTCTTCTCTCTCTCCACCCTTCCCCCACTTACACTCCTCTCTTTCTCTCAAAATAAACAAACATTAAAAAAAAAAAAAATCATGCCTCCTCACTTCCTACTTTGCCTCTCTTGTCCCTGAAAGGAACCTCTGAGTAACCAGGGGGAAGCTGTTAGACACTCTACTCACAGAGATGTTGCCATAGGCCATCAGGATGGGGTTGATGGGAAGAGGAACCTATGAAGAAATTATTAAATCACGTCATTAAAAAACAACACTTGGATAGTGCCTGTCACAGGCGGGGCGACAATCGTACTCTAGTTTTGAAAAGGGAAACCCTACAAATTGAAAGAATATAAAACAATGGCCAGGCCTTTTAGTTTTAATAGTGCTGAGAATGAGTTGGGACAATATTTTATCTGGAAATCTGGAATGGTTACAGTGCCTCTGCAACCAAAGCAGGAGCAGGAGTTTCTACCCCATATAATGATCACCTCAGTCTGGAATTTCCTCTCTTTTGCTTTCCATTAAAACCAAGCTTCCCTCCTCCTAGGCCCTCAACTCCTTCTTTCTAATATTTGAAATAGGAAAGACTCTATTACAGTCCAGCTGTAATAGGGATCTATTTGCAGATCTGAGTCAAGAAAGTCCTAAAATGATGGCTTTCATCTCAGGAATTCCATTTAGACACGTTTCTCAGAGTGTAACTTCATGGACTATCTCACCTCTTTCCCTGCAGCTTTACAAATGGCTTTGTGTTCCTTCATTTTTGCAGTTTCCTCTCGGTATAGCTCGACAGCCTCCATGATCCTCTCAGCCTACACAGATGGGGACAAAGGACAGACATCATTGCCACATGCCCCATCATCCCAGAACACTGCAACCAGAAGACCTGACTAGAGAACTACCAGATAACTTGAATCCGTGTAATAAACACGTGTCAGTAGAGTGCCAGACAGCCACTTGTAGACGTCTTTGGTTTTTCTTTTCTTTCTAATTTATGGGGAGGACACTAAGCGTCTTGGATTCCGGTGAGACCGTATGTACGTGCACTCAGGGAGCAGGGCAGCTCCCGGCACCTGAGAGGTGCCGCTTCCAGAACACTGGGGAGAATGAGCTCTCCTTTCTACAAACCATCACCGACTTGGCACTACTTCTGTCCTCGGTTGCAAGGAAGGAAAACAGGGGTTATGATCTCCACCTACATATTTCATCAACTTTTCGCCACAAAAGGGCTATCTGGTTGACAAAAACTTTTCACTGAAAAGTTGGTATCCTCTTTAAAAATGAGATACTACATTCTGTATCAACTTACCGCTTTGACCGTTTCAATAGTTTTCTTTCCAGTAAAGTAATTGTCACCTTGAGTCTCTCCTGGAACCTGCCAGAAAAAAAGAGATCCTTGACAATATTGCTGAGAGGCATTACAGAACCAATTAGAGGCACCTGGGTGGCTCAGTAAGTTAAGCATCTGACTCTTGAATTCGCCTCAGGTTGTGATCTCGTGATTTGTGAGATCAATCTGCACATCGGGCTCTAGGCTGACAGCGTGGAGCCTGCCTGGGATTCTCTCTCTCCCTCTCTCTCTCTGCCCCTCCCCTGCTTGCACACGTGTACATGCTCTCACTCAAAATAAATAGACATTAAAAAAAAAAAAACAAAACAATAAATTAATCTTATATCCAGAAAAGAACAGACATCACTATGTTATAATAATGGTAACATGGTGTTACCAACTACTGTTAATAGGGTACTTACTAAGTGCCAGACATTGGCAAGTATTTTATATTCATTATTATGAGAATATCCTATTCTACAAAAGTTTAAAGAAAATGCCCAAGGGAGCCTGGGTGGCTCAGTCAGTTTAGTGTCCAACTCTCGATTTTGGTTCCAGGTCATGGTCCCAGGGTTGTGAGGGTTGAGCCCCCACTGGGTTCCACACTGAGTGTGGAGCCTGCTTGGGATTCTCTCTCTCTCTCTTTCTCTCTCCCTCTACTCCTCCCCCACTAGCATGTGCTCACACATTCTCTCTCTCAAATTAAAGGCAAAAAAAAACCCCAAATTCTGAAAACTTTTGATTTTTATATTTGTTCTATGATTCCATGAGGCCTCCTTAAAAAATGAAACAAAACAATAGCGAGAATGACAATCATGCATTACCAAATTTGGTCAGTCATTTGTCCCTCAAAATAAGGATATACAGTTGAATCAAACAGGACTGCACAGACAGCGTCCTGCATGAGCTGGTGATGACTTCAGCATCTGATCCTAATTCTAATTCCATTAGAAATTCTTGAAACTAAAGTAAATTCAAATAAGATAATTACAGGGCTCAATCTCAGAGTCCCAAAAGATTTACTTACTACTGGCTGGTCTTCTTTGGCCACGCTCTCCTCATATTCTGCTTCCCTTTGCTGTCAAGAGAGAGATAGAAGTTAATCTGGAAGAAAAAACATGGTCTCTACATGAAGTGAAATGAGACTGAAAAGCTGCTTCTTTCAAAATGCAGTCCCCAATAGCATCTCTGTCTCTGTGTGGCTGCTGAATCGGTGACAGTAGTGCTGGAAACATCTCCTGGAGGTCCCTGGATTCGCACTGGCTGAGGGGTGGCCACACTAGACAGAACGCCGCGGCTGGGACAGCAGGTCAGATACCCACCAGCACCTCCGTAACCAAGCCTAAGTCCTTACCATCTCCCTTTCTTCCTCAAGAATAAGAGGCTCCCTTGTTCTCTCCCAAAGTCTCAGAGATTTGTCATGGGACGATGACACAACATAGTCTCCACTGGGGCTTACAGCCAAGCACCAGATTTCCTGGTGGTGCCCCTGGAGAGAAAAACAAAAACAAAAACCCTGAGAGGAAATACCTTATTCATTGACCGATACCTGCTCTACATCAGTGGGAAGCCCACACTTGATCTTAAAAGTAGTTCTGAAAGGGGCGCCTGGGTGGCTCAGTCGGTTGAGTGTCCGACTTTGGCTCAGGTCATGATCTCACAGTCTGTGGGTTCGAGCCCCACATCAGGCTCTGTGCTGACAGCTCAGAGCCTGGAGCCTGCTTGGGATTCTGTGTCTTCCTGTCTCTCTGCCCCTCCCCAACTCATCCTCTGTCTCTCTCACTCTGAAAAATAAACAAACACAAAAAAAATTAAAAAAAGAAAAAAAGTAGTTCTGAAGTACTGAGTACTGAGTAGTAAAGTTCTGAAGTACTGAGAACTGAGGAAACTAAGCAGCAAGAGTCACCTCCAGAGTCTGTATGTGTTCAAATTTGTCCGCATCCCACTGCTTAATCTTATGGTCCTTCCCAGCGGTGAAGAAGAGGTGGGACTTGGGTACGAACTGGAGGTACATCACGCTGAAAAGTGAGAGAAGGGAGCAAATGTCATCAAATTCCACATTAGTGAAGAGTCTCATGCACATAGTTTTGAAGAGCTAGTTCTAGAATGCCTGATTATTTATATTTTAGAATTTTACATTTATGACTGTCTGAAAACACCAAAATAATAGACACAGAGGCACAAGGGAAATGATACAGGTGACGCAAAGGGACGTCTTTGAAAAGACAGCACCTACCTGTCATCGTGTGCAAAGAGAGACTTGTGGCAGTCCCCGAAGTCCAAACCCCAGATTTTCACGTTCCTGTCAGCAGAGCCAGTGGCTATTAGTGTCCCATCCTACAAGGAAGAGAAGTAAACCGTTACTTTGCTTGACTATCAGAAACCCTACAATTAGACTACCCAGAACATTTAACCCACTTTTTCTGGAAACAGTAAAATCAATACCAAACAATTAATTTCATCTATCAAGAGCACCTATTTCTTTGCTTTTATCTAAGGTTGCCTTTAAAAGCTTGTTGAGTGAGAGCAAGAACTCTGCGGCTCCAGTGGGTTTGTACTGCTATAGGGTGGTGGTGTGCCCTGATGTCAGTTACCTATTTACGTTGTTAAACACATAGGAAGAAGAATGTCTAATCTCTGTCCTAGGATTTGGGGGAAGAGGGAGGAAGAAGGAAAGAAGAACCTACTGGAAAGTTTGCAACCCAGCCTTTTATCTCATGTTCCTGATCTCTATTTCTCCTATCTTTCCTATCTCAACTTCTCATTCAAATGGTTGTCAACATAAGAACACCGGAAAACGGGGCGCCTGGGTGGCTCAGTTGGTTAAACGTCCGACTTCAGCTCAGGTCGTGGTCTCATTGTCTGTGGGTTCGAGCCCCACATAGGGCTCTGTGCTAAGCTGCTCGGAGCCTGGAGCCTGCTTTGGATTCTGTGTCTCCCTCTCTCTCTGCCTCTCCCCCACTCACACTCTGTCTCTGTCTCTCTCTCTCAAAAATAAACAAACATTAAAAAAATTTAAAAAAAGAACACCGGAAATACTGTGTGACACCTACCTACTGTTAACGCATGGAATTCAAACAGCTACAGCACGGGGCTGATCCCTTTCACACAGACTAGATCGTGTCTTTAAACACATTATTGCCACTCTTAGCCATAACTAGACATTGCAAAAATATGATTTTGGTCAAGAGACTAAAAGTATACAGATAGTGCAAAATATGGTAAGTGTCCAAATACGAAGCCAAGTTCCATCCTCCTCACCAGCATTATCCTTCAGAACAAAGGGGGAGCCTTTTTAAAAATCGTATTTTAGGGCAGTCTACCAATTATAGTATTTTAGACAGCAAAATACTATCTGGAAAATCCACAGTGGGGTTAGTTTTAAGGATTAATTAAGACATTTGTGAACGTATTCTGAAAGTACTAAAGTAATATACATATTTAAGGTACAATTATAACATATGTCATTTTATGGCTTTTTTGGGTGAAAGATTAACAACAGGATGAAAAAATGCTCTGAAGTGAAGATAGCAAGCCAAGAACTAAGAAAGTGCTTTAGAAAAGACAACTTGTTTCTGAGACACTGTTTACATTTTACTTACGTAAGAGATGTCCATGCATATAACAGGCAGTTTGTGTCCATACAGTGAGAGAAAAAACTAAGTATTAAAAAGAAAAGAACAAATAATTCACATCTATCTATAAAATATAGGCACTGTTTGTTACAAGTGGATCAAAAATATAACTTTAAAATATAATGAACACTGTTCTGGATTGCTTTGTATTTCCCGAGAAGACAAACCACTGAAGGCAGCTCAGCCTGGGTCCAGCATGCGGACCCTGCATGCACCTGCCACAGCCCAGCATGCCCCTGACACCCACTGCCTCAGGCACAATAGGGCACAGGGACGTTCACAGCACCTCTCAGCTGAAAAGACTTTGGGCCCTCGCTTCACAACAATGTTCCCAGGTCAGATCCAGTCCTGCCGACTCGGGGCCCAGGGCCCAGGGCCCAGTAATCTTCTAGTTTTAAAAGCAACCCAAACGATCCCGACATATAGCCAAGTGTGGAAGCACTGCCTGGGAGACCCAACAATGCTCTTAAGCTACTGGCTGCAACAGGATTTTCTGAACTTACGAAATAGAACTTGCCTCAAGCAAAATTTATGAACCCAAGGGTTCTTTAAAACTCTGGCTTTCCTAGTGCACCTAAAATGTTTTGATTCCCGTATAAATTTTTAGAAACCTACCACTGCTGGGCACAGTTAGGGCCACTTTACAGTCTCAACCCAACCAAGGTCAGTCAGAAAGACAGAAACTATTTGCAGGCATAATCACTGTACCTTTAAAGTGTCAACATAGAAAATTTTCACAGTACAGTCCAGCAAAGAGACAGCCAACAGCTTCTGATTGGGAGAGTAACTGACACAAAGAACATCTTCATCTAGTTGCAAGGTTCGGGTTTGTTTCACAGAAAGTCTAGCAGGACAGAAAGCATCAAGGGAAAAAT